TCAAGTTCATTACACAATACTACTTATACAGTATTATACAATAATACTGTTCCGGCTTACACACAAATCTGACTTAAGGACAACCTTGGGAATGGAACTTGTTCTTAAATGGGACTACCTGTATTAACAAATTTGAGAACATTGACTATGGATGGAAACCAGTTCTGTAAAGCTGAGGACTTGTTTTTCCTGACAATAACCTCCCATACTAACTAGGGAAAAATTAAATAAGCAAACAGAGAGGTTTCAGTATTTGACTATAAATAAAGAGACCAATCCTAAATTGAGAAATGTCCAGAGCAATTTGTAGTATGGCATGGGACAAGGAGAGAAAATCCTTGTACACAAAAAGATATATTTTATATATACAGTTAATCACACAAGTGATTAATGTAAGGCCTTTGTGTTAGCATACTTAATTTGGGGGCTCACTAAGAGAACATTATTATTTTCTCAGTTTCTTGAGATCCATTAACCACTATCAACTAGTTCTAGTCAATATAGAACTTCAAGGCAGTAGAGAGGTTGCATTTTTCAAGTGAAATCCTTGTGGCATGGGGAAATGTCTTAAGATACTATGGCAAAAGTTGAAACTTTGTCCAGTTTAAAGTTTACCCAAATGCATCAAATTAAGGTCTGAAAAACCATAGTTTTGGTACAGCCAAAAGTTTCTATACCCTAATAAAAAAGGCTCCCTCTTTTTTCCACTAGAAACAAAGCTGGGGAAGAGCTACTCCTTTCACATGCTGTAAGATCCAGAAACAGCGCAAGCAGCCAAGAATAACTAAAACAAGTCTATCTCACCAGAATATGTCACAGGCTCTTAAGAAAAACATGACGTGGGTAACACAGCCAACCATGGACTGCACATTCATTGACGAAGAGCCCATCTCAAGCAACAGAAAGACTGGAGTTTCCTGCACCAAGTCCTACAGCTACATCCCAATGATGACTTCCAATGCCGAGGGAGAAAGGGTAAGAGGAAAATTAGACTCTATTCAGACATTCCTAGGTGAAAAAAGGACCTTGCCGATAAAGGAATATGAAATCAAGTACTCTCAGCACCCAGAGCGGGAAGTCCTGAGCGTGCCAAAAGTGATCCAAGGCAATTCTCCCAACAGCTTGGGCTGTATCACTTTAAATGCACTGTTAGTCTTCAGGCCAGAAGCTGGTGTGATCAATTTGCATCTGGAGCCCCCTTCCAAACCTACAGCAGCTGCAGTCAAGAGAACGGACAAGGGGGGCAGTGCTTCAGCCAAAACCATCTCTCCTCGTTATGCTGCTACAGAAGTAAAGGAAAAGAATGAAAAGAAAGTAGGTACGGATAATATGGTGAAAAAGGAAATACAAAACTCATGTACCGGCCTCCGATTTGTCCATGATGCTCACATATTTTGTCTTGTCCTCAATCGTGACTTCTTTCCACAGCACAGAAAAACAAAACAAACATACATTACAAAGCCATTGCTACTCTGTTGGCTACACAATATAATTCCCTGCATTGTCCTCAGAAACACAGATATTATTTACAAGGACAACAGCATCAGTAGCAGGCCCTGACTTTTAATTGACAGAATTATTAACATGAGAGTAATAACTGGCAGGTGTCAATATTAATCAGAGAATCCAAAGAGCTGTAGAACCCAAAGCATTAAGCAGTCACCTTCTTGGGTGCTGAAACATTTCAGATTCCCATGTCCCTTGAAAAGTTCCCCTTTCATTTAAGGGCTGAGGTGAGCGGTATTCTTCAAGATACAAGGAGCTACTGCAGAAGGAAACCCTGCCTCTTCCTCCATGGAAACATTTGTAAGATCCATATGCCTCAGGAGACACTGAATGGAATTTCAATGAATCATGAATCCATTCAGAAAGATAACTGCTATACTTAATACACTTTCCCCCCAGCTAATCATCAAAGGATAGAGTTTGGATAATTCAGTAACTCAGTTTCGATTATGCCAAATATCTTCAAGAAGAAGCCAAACTTCCAAGTCTATAGCATGCTAAGAAACCCAAGACTAAATCATGGAATATAGCGGTTCAGACATTACTGCAGAATCCTCAGGGACTGTACTGCTAAATTTAACTTGAAAATGGCATTTGTTTTGCAAGGGAGAGACACCTTAAACAGGTTAACAGAATTATGCAATTAAGTGAGGTACAGTAATGGGGAGAAATAGAGAGAGCACACTTGCTTTACAATATATTATCATACTGAAATCTTGAATCCAATAAATAAGGCACTCTACTGTAGAGTAACTTGCCAACCCTGAGTGTTCTTGCAACACTGGGGTAATTACAGCGCTAAACCCATCATGTGGCATGTTGAAACATGTCATGAACAGTCTTTTTATGGTAACAGGGAGCCTTGGCTTGACACACTATATTCGGTTGCTCTTTCATGCTTGTTCTGAAGGACCACAGAGATTTTTCTAACACTTGGGGCTTATTAAAAATATTTTAGAATTACTTATTCCTTTCCCGACATACAGGTCAATGGCAGTTGTATAGATGTCATACGTATCTGTGATACTCATGGCCTCGTTACTGTTATCTGATAGCCTTCTGCCCCACCAAATGCCCAGCATATTCTGTGGACTTCTTGAAAATAACGGGATTTTAAAATACCAAAATTTCCTGAACAGTGAAAACAGGTTGATCATAATCTAAAATTTGTTAGAAATTAAATATATTTAACTTATTCAGACTGTACAGATTTGTAAAAGCTTCCATTAATATTTTTGCTTAATACAATGGTATAAAAATGTACAGGTCTAGGATACCTGTATGAAAACAATATGAAAATAGGGGTTAAGAATGCACAAAATGTTTATGCATGTGGTAGATTAATGTCTCCACTGATAAATTATCTCAAGCATTTGCATTTTTCAAGAGGATGCTGTTTAAAGGTGGAAAATAAAACTGCTTTATAGTGCACATTATCTTTGAATAATACCTAGAAAATACTGGAATCTTAGCGATGTTTTGTTTGGCCATTTTTATTTCTATGAAGATTTTGATCAGAAAACATTTTTACCGAAGAACATGATAAATATTTTTTTCACAGACATCTCTGATATTCATTTATCTAGTTGCAGTTCTTATGTAAGGTTAGTACTTCCTTGAGGTATTTAAGGAGCCTTCCTTAATATGGTGTTTTCCAGATATATTGGGACTGTACCTCCTCAAACGTCTAGCTAACACGTGAATTCCCAAGTAGTAGAACACTGTATTACACGACATGCCAGCATGACTGATTACTTCCCAACATTTAAAACAAGAGAATCCCCATTCAAAAAGCTATAACTGTTCCTCTAAAATACCATCTATTACATCTATACAGAATTCAGTCCCCAGCGAATGTAATGGCCACTATTCCCATAAAAGTATTTAATAGTGACTAGTGACCAAGTGTTCAAATATTCTCCTCCCGACATGTTTTAATTCCCTTTCCAGATCCACCCCCGCCTTTTTTTTTTTACAGAAGACACATACAGAATAAACAAGAATGAGTACTAGGGAATAACATTCGCTTTTTCAAGAAAGGCAGGAAAACTTTGGTATGTTAAGACAGAAACATTTTTATTTGTTTGGGAAATACGCATTTCATCACATGCAAGTGGGGGCCCTTCTCAATCAGTTTCATCTAGGGCTACTTACACTCAATATATTTGCAATGTATACAACATGTAAACCTCTAATGCACACCAAATGTTCAGTTTAACAATTTTACTGAGAAAAGCGTGAAAGAGGAAACTCTGCACTTGTACACTGGGTCAAAAGCATTAAAATATCAGATAGTTGTGTGAATATCTGATGTTTCCTCTTTGCAATTCATCTTGATGAGCTGGCTCCAGGTGGATGTGCCTGTATCTAAGCATAAAAAAACAGAAGCTTGTGCAATTTCAACAGACAGATTTAACAGTTACAGTCCTATCTGAGCTTCAGGAAGCCAAGCCCCAAGCTGAAGCAGCAAACTCAATTCTTTTTCTAGCCCCAAAGGGAAATAAGACTAATGCATGCCCAAAACCTGGCAGAAGGGAAGCAGCAGTGAAAAGCAAACAAAAATGAAGTCACCTCTAGGGCACCACCACCAAGAGCTCAAAACTCCCTTTAATAAAAGGAAGAGGCCACAACTGTTATTTTACTGGTAATTTTTCTATCACCTGATCCCTTCTCCCACTTCTCGGTGATGAAACTGCAGTGTTTCCTGACCAAAAAAAAAAAAAAAGTTACTGGCTGACAGTGTAAGTCTCACTTCTAATGGATAAACTGGGTGGATGCATCACTTCTCAGGCACTTAGCAATGGGTGAAAACCCACAGTTCACAGGCATTGCCCAACAAAGCAAGCTTCTGACTAGACTAAATTTCAACCTGCAGAGGGGTGCTCACTTTATCGAATAAATGTTCCTCCCCCTAAATAACTCCCTGTCTATAGAAAGCTAGTTGTTGAACCTGTTCACCAACAAACCAGCTTTCTAAGCTGAAGGTGTTTGTACAGAAGTGCATTCAGACATGCGAGCTGCAGGGAGAGCCTCTGTGTTACTTCCTCCAGAGCCCAATCGGCTTACTCAGAATCGCATCCTAGTCAGTTTTCACAAAAGCAGAGGACTGAAGGATGAGGTTCAATTGAACAGGCATTACAGGTCACTTCAGGTGTGTAATCAAAATGGAGTCTATAGCTGACACTTAAAACTCTTCTGGCAACTTTGCAAACAAACGAAAAGAATGTCTGGCCCCTAAGTGGACATGACGGTAATATCCTGCATCCTGCGCTGGATTAACTGTGATCTCAAAGCCTCCTCTGAACAATACAACAGCATTGTTTTCTCATGCCAAAATATTACCCAAAGTTACTTCCTACACATTAGATGCTGATTTCTACTTTTTGTTCACTTCACTTCTCCAACCTGCTTTCCACATCTCCTTTCAGTGGCTGCAGAGGTCCTGTCTTCATCTCCTATCTTTTAACCATCTCTTGCCCTACCACATTTTAAATATAGTGACTGTGAAGCCCTGTCTTCGAATATTTAAAACATCTGGGACAGCCCTCTGGAAACTGTGGAGAAGGGACTATCTGGGATAGCCCTCCTTTCTGTGAGAAAGCAAGCACTAAAACCTTGGGAGCAAAAATTTATCATGTTGTTGCTTGCAACTGTTCTTTGTTACAGCCTTGGTTGGATAGCAACTTGTAGGACTGTATTCATGTTTGATGTCTAAACAAACATTAAATTAGGGTTTTAGCCCTGATTAATTCTGATCATGCATTGAAATAAAACTAGATCCCTTAAGATTAAACTTAGGAGTGGATAAAAGTTGCATTTATTATATGGAATGTACATGTATTGAAACAACGGCTGCAAACAAGACCACTGCCATACATGAGCATCAATAGGAAAGAAATAGGTCTTGTATTTCAACACTGTAACATTTAGGATTAAAACCACAAACATCAGAACATCAGCTGGCATTTCAAAAGAATAGTTGTGACATGCTTAGCTTGTTTTTGTCAACAATAAATTGAATGCAATTTTTTTTAAGGGCTCGGAGTTTTAATTGAAAAAAAGATGAACTACAGCTCAGGAAAAAGGAACAATTGCCTATGATATCAAAACTTCTATTCGGATCAGGTGGCTTGTGCTTGCAGAAATTTATCTTCCTAAAACTATCCTGATAATATGCCATGAAACCAAGTACGGCACACTTGGATCTTACCAAATACCTATATAACCATCATACTGTATTTTGGGGGGGGGGGGTCTAGAATATTTCTCACTGGAAGGTAAGACCAACACATGGCTAGAAATGATTCCAGAACTACAAAACCAAAGGCCGAAGCAGAAGTTTAGACACCAAACTCCCTTCAATAAACTCTTATTAGTCTCACGCAAGGATGATGTTCTTGTATAAAACTGTGTGCAGTGATGGAAGATACCCATTTCTGGAACAAACTCAACTTCTTTTCCTAGTACCTGATAAAGCAGATATTGATAATGTGTGATCTCCAAATCTTGCTGAAATCCCTTCAGTTCTAATCAGCATGGCTAATAGTGAGGGATAATGGAAGCTACAATACAGCAACATCTGGAGGATCAGATGTTGCCAACCCACTCAAGAATCAAGTCTTTTTTGTAAATAATTCATTTTCTTTTTACCAAACCATTTTGGGTTACCTATTACAAGAAAGCAAGACAGCAAAAAATGCGACAATATGTAAATCTATACCCAAGAGTTGTGGCTATACGGCCATAGACTGTAGTCATAGTCATAGACTACAAGTCTAGCTCAATGAACACAGAAGAATGAAACTCTCCCTTTTCCCCAACCTTAAGAACAAATGTATGGGTTGATTAACACAGCAGCTGAAAAGGATCCAAAAGGGCACAGAAGTCAAAACCTGGCCAGTACCAGAAATAGTTTTATTTCTATAAATAGCTCCTTAAAACAATCCTCAAGGAACGGATTATACATCAACATGATTTCCACTGAATCAATGCTGCTATTTTTAAATAGCAGGATAGCTATCTGATCTTTTGAGCAAAAGCTCTGTAAGGGCACTCAGATTAATGCACACATATTTGGGTATATCGAAACACAGACACATTTGGCAGATCCAGGGAGCCTGTTAGCACTTCTATCAAACGTGCAGTAAAGCCATTGCATTCTGAATTCTAACTACTGGGCTATATAGTTTTGCAAGCTAGACTGCACTAGCTTGGAAGCACAAGTGTCAGCTCGATGCTTTAGCGAGATTAGATGATTTTGTTGTACATCCTGACTTCTCCCAAATCTACAGTAAAAACACATATACAATGCTTACGTACTAACGCTGTCATTACGTTTCTGCTGTCAGACACTTGGACAAATCTATGTCTCATCTGAGTTCTTCATTTCCACATGTAAAACAATGCCAAGGAAAGCATCCTTTGGAGGGTGAGCCACACAGTTCTGAATTACACAGACTTTTTACCAATTTGCCATTGTTTATCTTAAATAATTAGATAAGCGATTCAACTACTGGGCTACACTAACTTGGAAGTTCAGCGGCTCTTCCAAGGTAGCCTGTCAAAGAGATATGCAATCTTAACTAAAGAAACTTTAGAGGGAATAAGGCCTGCAGGGATTTAATGAAATGTAGTATTTCTCTTTAATAAACTCTTGATCCTAAACCAAACTTTGTGGAAACCTCCCAACAGAAATATGTTAAGCAGTTCTTTTCATTTTGCCCAATTAGTGTAAGAGCTAGAATAAATAAAATCACTTGGAGAATCCAGGGTTTGACAGAAAATCAAAGAATCTACTCACCCCCACCAATGTAGTCCAATAGTGTGTTGAGATATTTGGTAAAGAACTATAACTGCATACGAGTCACCTGGCCCTCTGATAGACTGTTCTCCTCCAGTATTGTAGATGCACCAAATGACTTTGTTGAACTGATAACCTGGGCTTTCTAAAGAATTGTCTTAAATCAGTGTTTCTGAAGCAACTATTTCAGTATCAGCTGACCTATGTGTCTCTAGAAACAGTGTGCAGGATCTCTAAAAGGTGGGGTGGAAAGAATTAAGTCCACCAGAAATAAGGTTTGAAAAGCAGCAGCCTCGGACAGCGCAGAAGACGTTTTAATCGCAGCCTTTGAAGACCTGTTAAATTCAACCTGCGTTCAACTGAATAAGGAGTTTCACGGCATGCCTTTAGGTGATTCCTTTCTCATTTCTGCATGGGTGCCTTTTTTCATTTTTTGTACTTGGCAGAGATTTTAGAATTACTGAGTTCAGTTCCAAAACTGTGATACCTGCTGAGATTACACAAGAGGCTTTTTTTTTTAAAAAAAAAATCGGGCTACAAATTCTCATTTCCTCAGAAAAAAAGCTGCACCTGTTCCAAACATGAACCGTGTGATATCTTGTTGACAGTGCCTATGAGATAATGTTGTCTACTTCCCCGCAGTGAGAAACACACAGACAAAAGTTAAAGAAAATCTGGTTTATAGACTTTGGCTGCTTTTCTTAGAAAATTACATTTAACACTGGAACTGACATGATTGCAGAACTGGTCGATTGTAACAAATCAATATGCTGAAGAATGAATTCACAGGACTCGCTGGACACCTCTATGATATAAACTTCTTGTAAACAGATGCAACCAACACCAGTATAGGCAGCAAAACAAAGGAAAGTTACAGAGTTAGAATTCGGGGTAGAATTGTATTTACTCAGAAGTCCCACTGTTATTCCCAAAGGCGGCAGCTTCAGCAGCAGCATCAAGGTCAGATGACAGACATGATTAAAACTGATGAACTAAGAACTCTGGGTTTATGAACAGTCATTCAGGGCAGCAGAGGCAAGCAGCAGATGCCTTATGAAGTGTTCAACCATAACGTACTACTGTAATCATATGCAACAGCGTTTAAATTAATCACAATACGTAACAGTGAAAGTACCTTGCAATCTGACAAGGTGTGTAAGCCAACTGTGTACAGTCAGTTACGTTCAGCAAAGCTAGCGCGGGTCAGGTGTTCCTCACCGCCCCCCCGATATAACTTAACCCTCAAAGATGCTAAAGTCTGCAAACAGCACTCAATGGCTTACTTTATCAGAGCCCTGAAACAAAGAGCACAATTCTGCACACGTTTGTGTCTCTACTGAACTAAACTGTGACTCCATTGTATTCCAGGCCAAGTCAGCCAAAAGAAAATCATCCACAACGGTTTGAGTCTCATTGCTGGTGAGAAATAAACTGCCTAGAGTTTCAAGGCAGCTATCCATGGTTTGTGTTTCAGCACTATTCAGCTGGACTTTGCCTTCTGCCATATGATCAGACACATCCCTCTCAGGGCACTTCATTTCTGTTTGTGTTTCTGTATCGGAAGAGTCTGCGCTCATCAAAAAGGCAGAGGGCTTCAAGATGTTCCCCAAAGGCAGGTAGGGAGTATCTAAAAAGAAATTTAAGTCTGTCTGGGTCTGCGTATCAAACATTTCTGAGCCTAAGAAATTAGAATTACCTCGAGAGGTATAGGATTGGGTAGCATGGTCTGAAAATAAATCCGTTTGAGTTTCAATATCTAGTGACTCCAAAACTGGCACAGAGTTCAAGCTGCCAAATTCAGCCTCTTCAGTTTGAGTTTGGATGTTGGAGGCTGTAAAGAAATCCTCTATATCAAAATCTATTCCTGCATTCTGGGTAGGGCCGGAGCTCAAGGCGATGCCAACACTGGAGTGAGTATCTGTTAAAAGACTACGGTTATCCAATGAGTGACCTGCTGAGTTATTTGAAAAAATTGTTTCAAGATCGTTCAGTAGTTCCATGGTTTGGGTCTGATTGTCTGTCATAATTTGCTGGGGAAGAATACCATTTTGTGTGCTGAAGCTGATCATGGGCTCACACTTTGTGTCTGGGGTCAAAGCTTTGCAGTTTCCTTGCTGTAGCAAATTCTGACCCAGGCTCGCTGCCATCAAGGGCCCCCCAGGATGGGTCACTGGGCTTGAATCAGGAAACACCGAACTAACACTGTTGAAAAGATTGCTGCATGTTACGGTCTGGTCCATTTGTATGTTCCCATCAATACCTTTTTGTAACCTACTGGTCTGAGTCTCCCGAGAAATCCCACAGGACTGAAAGCAAGCTTGAGCAAGCACATCTGTCTGAGCAGCTATGGAGGAAGTCAGTTTTGAACTGGGTAACAGGGTTTGTGTCTCTACGCTAACTGGAAGCAACATTTGGGAACTGAAAGTCAGGTCAGTCTGAGAACAAGAGGACACTGAGGAATCAGGAGGCCAAGGTGCAGAAGGCACAAAGTTCTGTGAAATGTACGACAGGTCAGTCTGAACATTTGTGGAACAGATTCCATTTTTATAGCATAGAGCTTCTAAATCTTGGACCGGATTATGTGAAGTAGCTTTACCTAAATTCACCTGAATGCCTGTGCTAACTGCCTTTGTACCATCTGCCATTTTGGCTCTGGAAACAGCTGAGAGGGGTTTCAGTGCAAGGGTTTCAGTCTCCAGTGCAGGTATCATAATTCCCACTGGCACAGGCATTAAGTGAACAGTACTCATAACAGAACCTTTCTCATCCACAGCCACTACAATGGGCTTGACAGAAGAGCTTGGTGCTGACACCAAGATAGGCAACTGGGTAAGCTGCACTACAGGGAGTTTAACCAAGCCCACTTTAGGCTTAGGCAAGAGAAACTTTGGTGCATTTCTGGGCTGTGCTTGTGATTGCTTAGTAGTATAAGAATGGTTGGGATCATCAAAGGAAGCTGCCAATTTGATTTCAGAGGTCTCCAAATCTTCAGTGCTGGTACATCTGCTGTGGATGTTGGCTGAGGTCTCGTTCACTGTTTCTTTTTCCACCAGGCAATTAGTTGGTGAAGTTTCAGTTTTCCTTTTCTTACTAGGTGGATCCCTGTAAACACGAATAAATCATTAGAAATGCGGTTCAACTGCAGCACAGTCTCCAGGTTGCTTCCAATTCAAGAAAAAGACTTCAGGAAGATGAAAGCACATAGCCCATCACTATAATGGTATGTGAGAATGATCTTGGGAAACAGCAGGAAGAGCCACAGGCAGGGGAATGGTCAGATAAAAGGCAGCTTAGCCCGCAAAAGGAATGTGGGCATGGCAAACGTCTCAGAAGGGACCCTCCCTAGTTTCTTGGGCTGTAAAGATGACGGGGAGAAACGTACTTTCAGACCTGCAAGATTCTGTTAATGTAACCTTACAAAATAAAATATAAGTAGTTCATCTGGGTGTGCTTCCTGACTGGTCAATCTTGCAAGCCTGAATGTACTTTTATTTCTGTCTTTGATCAGCAAGTATGTAATGAACTGTGGGCCCAATAATATTAATGTCATACAAAGTTTGTGCTGTGCTCTTGACAGCCTTCAACCCCATGCTCTCCCTAACTCATGCAGCCTTCAAAAGCCCATGTGCTAACCATTCTGATGAAGCACTTCATGAGCAATGGCCACATTTGCACTTCTAAGGAATAAGAAAATTACACAGAGCACTGTGCAGCATTAGAGAGTTTAAAGACTTAGCTAGTGGTAGCCTATTTGATACCTGGATGTAAGATCTGGAAAAATACATGCCCATTGTGTTATAAGCAGTAATGAAACCAAGAGTCAGAGAAGAGGGGCCATCACTGGCAGATATCAACACTGAGCCTCTCCAACTTCTGAGTCCCCCATCTTAATAGATGCATATACATTGGAAAATGTTGCCATACCTGTGTTCAATGGGGATCTCATGTTGTGTCCTATAAATGTGAGATAACAATGCTGTCCTGCTAGCATAGGGACACCCACAGGTGCACTGGAAAGTCTTGCCACACTCCGCAATATGCCGCTTCAAATCCCATATAGTGCCATATGAATTGGTACATTTATCACATTTATGCTTCTTTTCAGCGTGCATTTTCATAAAGTGCTGAAATTGTAGGAATACAGAGAAGCAGCTTACAACAAATGAGATCACGGGTCACATTATCTTTCAGCATTTTCTATGTTAGGAGATGTCCATTGGATTTCCAGAGTTTTAGACTGAAATCTTTCTAAGACGTAGCTGGAGATGTTGGGGACTAAAAGTGGGTCTTCTTGCAAATCAGGTCCCCTAATTTTGATTAGGCCTATTTCTTAACAGGCATACCTGTTTACCATGGATAATTATCAATAATTCTGAGTACATTTTTGAACTATACAGTACAGAAACTTTAAGAAAATTTAACAGTTTACCTAAATGCCACAAAATAATTGGAGTCCAAGAACAAAACTCTACTCGTCTTATTTAGGTTCATGATAACCAAAGAAAGATTTGTAACTTATTTAACAGAAAGTTCACTCACTGCCACCCTACAAGTTTAGATTCCAAAAGATGCTAAGGATCTGAAAATGAACTTTCTGGAATATTCATGCCTCTGCTGCTTGTTCTTTCATTTGAATCAAGGTAGCTCTTATTTCATGTGTTGATCCCACAGTAAGTATTTAATTTACAATTAGATCTGGCATTTGCATGCAGATTTGTTATACATATGAATGTAATATTTTCACATAAAAAATTGTAATTCAGAAAAATGCATAACTCTTTGAGATGGCATTCCATCCACTGTAACTTCAATTAATTTATCTTTAAATAATGTAGTTATGTTCCATACCTGCCTTACAAGAGAAAACTGTGAAAAAGGCCTTTCTGGTCCTCTAGGACAGCCTTCAATTGGACAGCAGTAGTATTTCTGTGATGTTTTCAAATCTTTCCTCATTGCAGGACATATTTTTCCATCCTGAAGCAGCACATATTATTAAAAAGAAACACATATTTAGAATTTAGAAGGAACTGGAAAATAAACTGAATTTTGGGTTATTCAACATTTTATATTATTATTAAATCCAAGGTCCATAATCATCAGAATTTGTTCCTATTATTTTGCAGAAATAAAATTGAGATGGAATTCTTGGTAGATTCCATCTCAAATGACTCTGATTATTTGATTACTCAAGAGAGACCTGAAAACTGACAGCTCTTGTTTGATGGTCAACTCAGCTAAAAAGCCAAGATACAGACAGTTTTTTCCTGATGTCTTTAACTTCAAACTTCAGTCCAATTAAGGGAAATAATTCCAATCAAAAGCTCATCTGCTCCATTCCCACATGATCTCTCTCCTTTTAGGTACGCTACTATAAGCAACAACATCTTCAGACAGTCATGATTTCTAGCCATCAGGATTAAAATAGTTTAAAACTTAAAACATGGTTTTATGTCTTTTATATTGGTTTAATATCTGATCTAACCATGATTGTCATATTTTTCCATGTATATCTTAAAAGAAAACTAGAATGATCTATAAATTTCTGAGGCTGAGAAATGCTGAACACAAGGGTTATTTATTAGGCCTAAGTAGGATAATATAGAAAATAGAAATATCCCACAGTACAAACAAAGCTAAATGCTTAAATCCAACTATTTCATTTAAATGGGTTCAGAGTGAAAGAACTGAATTTAGAATCAATAAAGTCTGAAGCTAGGGAGAATTTTTTTACCAGATGTAGAACCATAACCATGATCCAGTGAATCAAACCAGGGAAGCCCTTCGATCACTGTATCTGATGAGATATAAAGTTTGTGCCATCTTACATTCTGTGTTGGGTTCCTTGTCCTTTGACAATAAAGATACAGCTGAAGAGTTTGTGAAATGCTTGCTGAAGTGTCCAAAACTAGCTTACATAATCCCTACATTTTGGGAGAAGGCTTCGGAGTACCTTTGCTTTTCTCTTTCACTAGTGAATACAGAATTACACAAAATAAACAGATTAGCAACTCTTATAGATTTGCTTAATTTGCACAAATGACAGGATCCATTATACCCCTATTTTACCTTCAGAACCATCCCATGGAGCAGATTAGGCTAAGAGCCAATTAAAAACAAAATAGCCCAAAATGGCATTTAGGCTTCTGTTTATGGTGCAAAAGGAAGATCAATTCTATTTTACATAAAATCAGTACCACTGACTATATGTTTACAGTGACCAGTATGAACTTGCCCTAATATCATTCTTATCCAAAACTGGGCCTAATCCTTTATGTATATGGAAGGTGTACTTTGGTTCAGCTACAGATCTTTTCCTAATATTTCCTAAAATTCACACCCTCTTTGCTTGCATCACCCAAACCAGCAAGGGCAGAAGCCTTTTAAGATTGCAAAGCACTCTATCGGACTTGTTTACTTATAAATACACAAAGGGCTATCAAAAAACATTTGGTATGGTATATGCTTAAATGTTATATTATTATTATTATTACTTTAAAACACCATTCTCCACATTTCATTTTGATCAACAAAACAGTTCTATTTAGGTGATCTATATGTGTGCATAAGTATAGGTAGTCCTCAAGTTATCACAGTAATTAGGACCAGAATTTCTGTTGCTAAGCGATGTGGTTATAAACCATGATGTCACGTGACTGCAACACTTAGTGAGGGCAATCCTGACAGTCCCTGTTGCCATCATCAATGGAATCCCACTGGTCGTTAGGTGAGGACCCACCCTGATCCAAGCCATTCCCAGCTTGGTCCCTCCCAGCTCTGAGTCTTGGTAAGGTAAGGGACTGCCTCCTCTTCAACTCCCCTATCTCCTCTCATCTTTGCCCTTTTGGCCACCCTACACAGCAGCAGTCCTCAGCAGTGGTGGCAGCACCAGGGCTGACGTAGAGGCCCAGGGCCTTCAGTAGTCTCAGCTGGCCACTGCTGCCCCTGGGTCTCTTCTTCAGCTCAGTACCACCAAGGAGTGCTGCCTCAAGCTCTGCTCTGGGGCCAGTCACCCCAGTGCCAAGCCCCAGCCACCCCCACCATGCTGTGCTCTGCCGGCCCTACCGCGCCCAGGTGTTCAGTTTCTTGGATGGTGGAGAAAGAAGCCCCCCCCCGAAGAACACTTGACCTGGAGAGCCAGAAGAATGAGAGGTTCTCCCTGAAAGATCCCTGGAGAAAGATATTTCCAAAAGAAAACACTGGAGGGGGTCTCCCAGGTGACCTGATAGAGGCGAGAAAGGGGTCACCAAGAACAGCATGGTCCTAGGACTCCTGGGGATCCCCCAGGATCCCCTCAAGGGTCCTCAAAATCAAAATGATTTGCCAGCCTATGTTGGAGAATAATGCAATATTAATAGAGGTGAATATGCGTAGCTCAGGGTTGAACTGTAGAGTCCTTGGGGTTCTCTGAGCTTGGTTCTTTTCTTGCAAACATTTCAATACCCGGCTAGGGAACATCTTCAGGGCTAAAATGGGATGGGGTTTGCTCTCTATTTATGTGCTGTGGC